CGCCCCTTCCAGTCGGGGCCTGCGGGTGTGCCCCACGCGCTGCGGGGAGCCCAGTGGTGGCATCGGCGAGACTCACCTCTCCCCGCAGAAAGTTCCCTGGAGTTTGAGGCGGACTCGTGTCCCGCTGTTGCATGGAAAGGGGGAGGGGCAGAAGCCAGCCAATCGTTTCCAAGAAGAAAATTATAATAAAAATTTGAAAAAAATATTCTCCCAGACTCTGGTCTCAGCCTTTTGGGTGCAGGACCAGTGGATAATCCGGACCAGTGGGGTGCCCAGTCTGCCCACCACCCAAAAATCTGGTTTATTACATTTTCTTACTCATGATAAATAATATACATGCCTACATAGCAGGGCTTAACCAGAAATAAGCTACCCATATTGAGCTACATCAATTACATAGCTTATTTCAAAATAGTTTATTTTGAAATGGAGAGTGTTTATACAACATTTATTTTGAAATAGAGCACTCTTCCTCTGACTTCCCTTATTCCTTGTATAATGAGGATTAAAGGAGTCGGAGTAAGAAGTCCTCCAGCTTGACAGTGTTTTGACATTCTTTCAAAGTAACTACCTGCTATGTAGATGAAGACTACGCTATTTTGAAATAATGTTAGTTATTTTGAAATAATGTTGCTATACAGAGATTCGTTAAGGCAATAAGTGCACCATATGTAGATAGTGATGGATTCTGTCTCACAGGGCTGGTTAGGGTCACAAACACTGCTTAAGCTTGGCCCAGCTCCCTTAATGGGGCCCAGGTTGGCCACATCTTTGTGAGTGGCATTGTGACTTGGTAGGTGGGATTGCAATGCCACTTACACAGATATGTCCAGCTGGTATTATTCTATTAGTGGGATGGAGGCCCAGCTGGCTCAAACTTCCGTGTGCTGTAATCCAGTGTACCCGGTTGTAACATGTTAAATGGGGAGCTAAGCCTAGCCAGCTCGGTGGGATGAGAGCAACAAGATCTGCCTCTGTGGAGGTTAGTGTGAGGAAGGCTTCCCCTTCTCCTCAGGCTTCCCACATACCTCTTTGAAGCATTCTGGTAACCCGATTTTGGGTCATGATCATGAGATTTTGAGCCTCTGCTTTAAACTATATTGTCTAACTTTACATAAGAACCCTGTCAGATTTTTGTAATTGTTCTTGTAATATCGTCATTCTTAAAAGGCATCACTAGGCACAATACTGGAAAATGCAGAGAGCCTCCTTTGTAAGGTTGAGTGTCTTCTATTGTTCAAGGTATTTGTCATTTTCAGAACCAGGCACAGTATCAAGTATTTTGTCCCTGGGAATATTCTATGCTGGATGATTCAGAAGGTGGCAAAATGAAAAACAAACAAACAAAAATTGTAATGATTACTTAGCAATGTCCTAATGTGATGTTATTTCAGCAGTATTATGGAAAGCCCAGAGGACCTTTGCTTTACTGAAGAAGGATGCAGTCATGACATAATTCTTGAAAAGCAACTCTTTAGATCCAAAGTGCTAGAGTCTCATGTTCAGCTTGCTTGTAGTCTACATTACTGTGCTTTCCCTTTGAATGGAAATGAGCTATGCATTTGGAATAATGGTGATAGTCCTGCTCATCATCAGGTAAAACCCAAAACTTGTTTGTTTAGACTTTCAGTGAAATATTTTTAAAAAGCACTAAAATGGATGAAACAAAAGAAAAACATTGATTTTATGTACATCATTTTTGCAGTGTAGTTTATTGTCCTTACTAGAGTCCATGTTTTGAGTCTGGAATGTGGACAATTATTTATGACTTTGTTATTTTGACAAGCAGTAAGTCATAATGCAGTTCAGTGAATGGATTTTAGGCATTAAAGACAATTCAGTTTGAATAATTGAGCCTTGCTAGTTATTCAGATAAATGTTAGTTGCATGTTTTCCCCTCTGATGTTTTCATCATTATTAGCAATAACCTGTGGACATAAAAATGTTCTATTATGTTCTTCAGCCATTGCACTTGGTAGGACATCATCATTCAATAACAGCACTGGCTTTTGGAAGTAAAATCAATCCACTTCTTGTCTGCTCTGCTTCTTATGACTATGTGATAGTGTGGAACCTGGATGAGTGCACAAAGAAGGTACTACAAGGTACGGTATTTTTTTAAAGTTACTTTTGAAGTTTTGAGTAGCAAGTGTTAAATATGACTTCTTAATATTAGATGTTGATTTGCACTAACTTGATATCATTTTTTAATGAGACTACAGGTTTAGCTATTACAATTAATAGGGTTGACATGACATACTTAGACTTCTGTAAGAAGTTTGACTTATTACCGCATAACATTTTGATTAAAAGCTAGTGTAATATTAAACTAAATACAGGCAGTCCCCGGGTTACGTACAAGATAGGGACTGTAGGTTTGTTCTTAAGTTGAATTTGTATGTAAGTCGGAACTGGCGTCCAGATTCAGCCGCTGCTGAAACTGACCAGTGGCTGACTACAGGAAGCTTCTGTAAGAAGTTTGACTTATTACCGCATAACATTTTGATTAAAAGCTAGTGTAATATTAAACTAAATACAGGCAGTCCCCGGGTTACGTACAAGATAGGGACTGTAGGTTTGTTCTTAAGTTGAATTTGTATGTAAGTCGGAACTGGCGTCCAGATTCAGCCGCTGCTGAAACTGACCAGTGGCTGACTACAGGAAGCTCTGCCCCGCCCCAATCTGCCCCGGGCTTCCTGGAATCAGCCGCTGATCAGTTTCAACAGGCTGAATCTGGATGCCAGTTCTTACATACAGATTCAACTTAAGA